CCCACAAGTTTGTGGCCCTTGGGGCCAGTTTCACAAACGTCGGTTAACTGTTAACGAGAGTTCAGTCAAGTCCCTATCTTTCCCACAAGTTTGTGACTCTTGGGGCCAGTTTCACAAACGTCGGTTAACTGTTAACTAGAGTTCGGTCAACTCCCTATCTTCTTCTATCTTATTACCTAAGAAGAGACGGAGAATCAGTTAACCTTTGGTTAGCAGTTAACCGACGTTTGTGAAACTGGCCCTTAGATGTAGAAAGGGCACCTGGTGTTCGGCCTCGAGTGTCGAGCCGCCTTCGCGGTATCGTTAACGCGCACGGCGCGGACGGTAGGGGATACGCTTAAATTCGTAGCATAGCGCATTGTTTATTCGCCGCGGCGAGAAGGAGAGTGCGATATCTGCGGCGGCCGTTATCTCGCGCGATAAGCGCCTCCGAATGACGTGCGCGACTGGCTCTCTACTCGCGGAACTCGCGTGGAATATATACATGTATTTCTCCCCGGGATCTCCGCGTCGCGGAGAGGCGCGAATTTTTTTTACATTAGTAAAACGCTCTTCTCGGACAATCTCTCGAAACGAAGTACCGGATCAGCCCGTAAATAATGCGGTGTAGGGAGCTTGATTTATTCCTTGGCGTAAAACCGAGGGACTTTCGTCGCCGGGGAGTTCAACATTTCGCATTAAGACGGGGGTAAGGAGGGGCGGGGAGGGGGGGGAGTCGCAAATAATAATAGAACATGTATTCTCGATTAAAATTGAAATGTTATAAATTTCTTGCTCTTCTACTCGAGGATGCCGGCGAAAAGCCGCGTTACTCGTGGGACGAGTCGATAGAGACAGAGGGTCGGCGTGATGTGTATTTCCGACGAGATGAATGTGTACTTCTGACGGAGAGATATTTTCTTTCGACAAATCCACGCGCGATTTGTCTCCGTCGGGGATCGGGCGTTTGTCTCCCGCTAATGATTTTACCATACGGCGCGAACAGGCGTGACTAATCATTAGCCGGTGATTCAGTGCCAATTCCATTCGGTTTCCCAAAGGTTTCCTCGTTTCTCAACCGGGAAGCGTGACGTTACTCCTGGCACGCTCGGCCGGGACGTCCGTATTGTTCCGCCGATAAATTTGCATCAAATGCACAAGGAAAAAACGCGGTTTTTCCTCACTAGCGCGCGATATTCATAATCGGGCAACGATTTCGTAGAACAGACAGACGTTGTAAATCCGTGACGAGAAGCGGCGTTCTGTTTATTTGATTGTTTGTTTTTTTTCCGTAAAAATTCTGGTCGA